GGAGACCAAAACAACTGATGACAATGGTTGTATGAATCTTATGATTTGACCGTAGTTATAAATGATTGTAGAGAACAACATAGCTCTAGCAGTCAACTATGTGATCAGTATATCAGATCTGGAACTTTTCGTTCTGTTCATCCTCTACCCTGTTATTATCCTTAACTGGGCCATTGACTAGTTCAAATTGACAAATTTTGAGTTTTATTTTTAGTGAAGATGAAATGTAAACAAACAATTGAAACTGGTTACAGCTTTGATAATTGAATAAAGAAGAGCTAGAAACCGGATACACTTTTAATAATTGAAGAGAGAAGAGGTGTAAGATATTTTTCAAATTATTGGTCGCAAATGTGATTCGTGTCACTGTTACGAACGTAAATTGGGGAGAGCTCGACGCCATAGGACCATGGTATACTATTCACTTTCACATATCCTACTAATTTACAGGTGGGAATATCTTTCAAATAAATTTCATTTCTACAAGCATAAATTTATTGAAGGAAATAAATGATACAATACAATACGAAATACCGTTGATACAGTAGGATCTTTGCCTATAAATAAACCTTTCATCTTCTACTGAACCACATAAAGAAAGACACAAAATCATTTGCCTTCTCCTATAGATTTGTAAAATCTGTAGGTGAGAGAGTACGCCAATAAATACGAACAATATTGTGGGAAGTGCATTTGCCGCAGGTCTGAATTTTTTTTTTCCTAATTTTTGAAAAGAATTTGAATAATATTTCTAGGGAATTTGCACTAGATATCAACGATATAGGACGTTATTAGGTAAGTGGATATGGAGCTATACATTTTAGAGTAATACCCAAACTGTCCCTATTCCCATAAGAAAATCGAATGATAGGGACCTGTTACACGTCATAAATGATTGGAGAAACATGTTGTTGCACACAGTAAAAATAAGAATAATGCAAAGAATCAAAACTTTTGAATACCTCTTTCTCTTTACTGCGAAAATCCAAAGAGGTTTGTTATAACTTTAGTTCCTAATATATAGTCTTTTTCTAAAACCAAATNCCCATAAGAAAATCGAATGATAGGGACCTGTTACACGTCATAAATGATTGGAGAAACATGTTGTTGCACACAGTAAAAATAAGAATAATGCAAAGAATCAAAACTTTTGAATACCTCTTTCTCTTTACTGCGAAAATCCAAAGAGGTTTGTTATAACTTTAGTTCCTAATATATAGTCTTTTTCTAAAACCAAATCTCAGTTATTTTTTTTGTCTGCAAAATCCCTTATAACCAATTCGTAATGGTTGCTTCAAGAATAGTCGATTTTCCAGAAGACATAGTTGATGAAACCGAAGTCGATTTACCTCGGATGATGTTCGCGGAGGGAGATGAAGCACTCAGTGTTAGGGTTCGACTTACCAGTCTTCCCGAGCAATCAACACCATTCTTAACGCTTTCAACGAAGATGAGATCCGGTACCTGAGAGAGTCATCTTTTGGTAAAAGTGATTTACGAGTACCATGCCAAGCTGTAGGTTGACTGTTATTTATCATCCTTTTAAACCTTTTTCATTTGCTGTGTTGAGGATTTACTTAACTATTGTCATTTCATTTTCAGTTATAAACTCTTATATGTTATTGCTTTGTAATGCTCATTTATATCTGCTATGATTACTATTTACATTTCTATGTTCATGAGTCTTAACCTTAACACCGGTAACCATTGTTACTTTATTAAATTTGAATTCCTTTTGTAATTTTAAATTTCTATAATGTTATTATTTATGTATGTAAGATTATGAGGATGATCAGTAAAACCAGTAACTGCTTCCAATATAAAGTTACTACACACATTAAAACCGGTTACTGCTACTAATATTGAGTTACTACAACCATATTTAAGTATAATTTGAAGATCAAAATACGGTTAAAGCAAAAGATTCATACAACATCGGAAGTATTTCATCGGGATATGTATAATCTGTAGGAGAGAGCGTACGCCAATAAATACAAACAATATTGCGGGAAGTGCATTTGCCGCAGGTCTGAGTTTTGTTTCCTAATTTTTGAAAAGAATTTGGATAATATTTCTAGGGAATTTGCACTAGATATCAACGATATGACTTTATTAGGTAAGTGGATATGGTACTGTACATTTTAGAGTAATACCCAAACTTTCCCTATTCCCATAAGAAAAGCGAATGATATGGACATGTTACACGTCATAAGTGATTGGAGAACCAGTCGTTTGCATACAGTAAAAATACTAATAATGCAAAGAATCAAAACTTTTGAATACCTCTTTCTCGTTAGTGCAAAAATCCAAAGAGGTTTGTTATAATTTTAGTTCCCAATATATCCTCTCTTTCTAATAACAAATCTTAGTTCTTTTTTCCGTCTGCCAAATCTCTTATAACAATTTCGTAATGGTTGTTTCAAGAATAGTCAACTTTCCAGAAGACATGGTAGATGAAACCGACGACGATTTACCTCATATGATGCTCGCGGAGGGAGATGAAGCAATCTGCGTTAGGTTCTGACTTACCAGTCTTCCCGAATAATCAACACCATTCTTAACGCTCTCAACGAAGATGAGATCCGGTACCTAAGAGAGTCATCTTTTGGCAAAAGTGTTTTACAAGTTTCATGCTAACCTATAGGTTGATTGTTATTTATCTTTTTTCTAAACCTTTTTCATTTGCTGTGTTGAAGATTTATTTAACTATTGTCATTTCATTTTTCAGTTATGAACTCTTATATGTTATTGCTTTATAATGCTAATTTATATATATTATGATTACTATTTTTATTTCTATGTTCATGAGTTTTAACCTTATCACCGGTAACCATTGTTACTTTATTAAATTTGAATTCCTTTTGTAATTTTAAATATCTGTAATGTTATTATTTATGTATGTAAGATTATGAGGATGATCAGTAAAACCGGTAACTGCTTCCAATATCAAGTTACTACACACATTAAAACCGGTTACTGCTACTAATATCAAGTTACTACAACCATATTTAAGAATAATTTGAAGATCAAAATACGGTTAAAGCAAAAGATTCATACAATATCGGAAGTATTTCATCGGGATATGTGAAGCTGAACAGGAGACCATAGTCCTAAAATTTTTATTAAATAAATATAATATATCAACTTGACAGAAATATATTTTGTGTAGATATGGTTTTGTAATGTAAAGAATATGTGGACATCGGAAATTGAGTTACATAGGAGTATAATAGTCATTTTCAAAGGAAAGAAATTATAATAACGATAAAAATAGGGCATAGAGCTAAATAGTTCATCTTCCTTGTGTGTGCAATGCAAATTCTCAAAATTTATTAGATTTTCCATAACATCATTATAATATTTTCATATCTTTAAATTTATTTGCAATACAAAAAAATTATAAAAATTCTAACATATCTTTTTAAGATCTTTTCAGATATATTTTCGAATTAGTTAATTACAATTTTAATTATCAAAAATATAATTAAAACAATTATTCATTTTTGATTTATAACACAAAATTCAAAATTATATAATTTTTTTTTTAAAAGTATTCTAATAATTTGCTTTTTTATATAATGTTGGTCCAACTTAATTTAACTTTCACATATATTTCAAATTTAAAAATAAAATAATTATTATTTTTAGATAATAATGTTTTTTTAAAACAAAAAATTATTAATTTTAAAATAATAGTATTATAACCCACACAAACATTATTACAAATTTAAATAATATATAACATCAAATTATATTAATATATTTATAATTTTTATTGTATAACATAAAGTATTTTAGTATTAAAAAAACCTGAACAGCTCGGAGGATCAGAATCTAGTTATTTCCTGAAAGTCGTGACTTTTGACTTTTCAGTTTTACAGCACTTTTTTGGCAATTTAAAAACAAAAAGTGTATTTATAAAGCTAATTTCTTTCTTCATTTGATAGAATTAAACTCAGTTGTTGAGGTGGAGAGACTCAAAACGCAGTTTGGGATTTGATCGGCGATGGAGCAGAATCACTTGCCGAAGAAGAAGAAATCCGAAACGGAAGACGATAAGAGGTTCGTTTCTATCTCTGCTCGAATTACTCGATTCTTAGCTGAATAGGTTTTATATCTTTGATTAGGAGGAAGAAAATTGTTGCTGGGAGCTTGTTGAAAGCAGTGGTGAGACCTGGAGGAGGCGAGTCAAGCCCTAAGGATGGTGATCAGATTATTTATCACTGTACTGTGAGGACAGTGGATGGTGTAGTAGTTGAATCTACGAGGTCTGAATGTGGAGGTGAAGCTGATGACATTACAGTAAGGAGGAGTAACGTTGAGATTAGGGATTTATTGGATGAATTTGATTTTTCATGTTTCCATCAGGGAGAGGTTTACCAGTAAGAGATGTCTTGGGGAAGAGCAAAATGATACTTGGATTGCTCGAAGGGATTCCCACAATGCATAAGGGTGAAATTGCTATGGTAAATTTTCTAAAGATCCGTCACTTCTGGCGTCAAAGATAATGTTTTACTCTAGTCCTTTGCCATTTTTTGTATGTTTCAAAGCTGTCTCTCTTACTTGGATTCATAGTTTGGTTACTGTATAGGCTTTAGTTTATCCACTGGAGTTATTAGTTACCTGAAATTCAAGTCAATTCACTTTCATGATCCTTCACCGCTTATGAAGTCTTTGTCTTCCATTTTTTTCCAGTTCAAGATGAAACCTGAAATGCACTATGCAGAGAAGGATTGTCCAGTCTCAGCTCCGGCTAATTTCCCTAAAGATGATGAGCTTCATTTTGAGATTGAATTGCTGGATTTTGCTAAAGCCAAGGCAAGATCTCATTACAAACCAACATAACAGTGTGTTAGTTAGTCGAAAGACTCTGGAAACTTGCATTTCATATGTTCTGATTTTAAGTGTTTGTTTCCCTTGTGTTAATTATTCAGATTGTAAGTGATGATCTTGGGGTCATCAAGAAGGTAGGACCTGGTTTTCCATATTGTCATAATGACATGATTCTTGTTCTTCTTGGTGTTCACGTATTGCTTTCCTTTAATATGAAAGATTGTAAATGTAGGCGAGGGCTGGGAATCTCCTAGAGAACCCTATGAAGTAAAAGTCAGGTAATCTGTTTTATCTTTAATCATTCTCTCATTTTGAGTCTAAAAATTATCTAACCTTGTGTGCTGAATGATTGATTGAAGTTTTGATGCATTTTTGTGGTGTATATTAGGATATCAGCTAAATCTGGTAATGGACAAGTGATCTTATCTCACAAAGAAGAACCTTATTTCTTCACGTTTGGAAAATCTGAGGTGATTGTTAAAGTTTATGGGGGCATCTTCAGTTACTTTCTCTCTGCCCAAGCATATGTGGTCTTGTGGAGTACTATCATTCATGACTACTGCTCGCCAATTAGGCAGGTGCCTAAAGGTCTTGAAGTCGGAAATGGAACAATGGCTCGGAAGGAGAAGGCAGTGATATATGTTCGCAAGCAGTATTTGACTGAATCTCCTTTGATGCATATAGCTAAAGACCTCGAGGAAGTTCATTTTGAGGTGAACTTGTACATTTCATTCAGGTATACTAAAGACAAAACTTGTATAATCCTGTTTTCTTATGTAGTATTTTCCGCATTTAAGAATTGGGGACTGAGTGATTGACATTTGGAGTTCTCACTGTGAAGGTGCGAGACATGCTTGGAGATGGACGTCTCATAAAACGTCGAATTCGAGATGGAAGAGGTATGCTTAACACTTTCTTTTAACTGCTCTAACATGATGCGGATTTTTACTCATATGCATCTTGCCGGGCATTTCCTAGACTTCAACATCTTGTTTTCTAGATATTTAGCTTTATCTGCCTGACTATTCTGATCTGCAACGTTTCATCAACTTATTAGGAGAATTTCCAATGGATTGTCCTCTCCAAGACAGTCGGTTAAGCGTTCATTACAAGGGCATGCTTCTCAATGAAGAGAAGACTGTCTTCTATGACAGTAGGATTGAAAATAATGATCAGCCGTTGGAGTTCAGTTCAGGAGAAGGACTGGTCAGTTACTATCACGTTAATAGAAAACCCCTGGTGGAGTTTTTAAGCTTATGTTTTTATTTTTGTGTGGGCAGGTGCCTGAGGGATTTGAGATGTGTACTCGTTTGATGCTACCAGGGGAGATTTCTCTTCTTACATGTCCGCCTGATTATGCATATGATAAATTTCCAAGGTCATACTCATAACTTTGTGAACCACACTGAACATGATAGCATACAAATTGTTAGTGGAGAAACAAATGCATTTTGATTGTTTTCTTTCTTGATAGGCCGCCTGGCGTTCCTGAAGGTGCACATGTTCAGTGGGAGATTGAACTCCTTGGTTTCGAAACGCCAAGAGTAAGTTGATCTGGTGTTGATGCTTACGATAGAACTGTAAACAGTTTCCATTTCTTATGATTCCAGAGAATCTTGTAACAGGACTGGACTGGGCTGGACTTCCAGAGCATCATGAATGAGGCAGAAAATATCAGAAGCACGGTATACATCAAATGTTCAGCTATTATATACATTTCACCTATATTGTAAATTGTGCCACAACAGAGTTTTGCATAGCTAATCATGTGCAGATCTTCTAACTTTAGCTCCTTGTTTTTGGTTATACTTTGACTTCAGGGTAACAGGCTATTCAAAGAAGGAAAATTTGAGCTCGCAAAAACAAAGTATGAAAAGGTAATAGAGTCCACGAAATGTTAACAAATCCAGTTTCCTCCCTTTGTCAGTATCTGTAAGTCCAGTATTAGTATGTGTTTCATTGTGTCTAAGTGGTGAAACAAAAAACAGGTGCTCCGGGAAATCAATCATGTAAACCCACAAGATGATGAGGAAGGAAAAGTATTTGGTGAAGCAAGGGTGAGTTTATGTTCTCATTGAGCTTGTAGTTGTAGATAATGTATATTTCTGATAATAATAGTATTAAGTTTTAACTAGCTCTTGTATCCCTGCTCTGCTGGTATTTGAAGAATATGTTACATCTGAATGTTGCGGCTTGCTTGCTTAAATTGGGAGAGTGGAGGAAGTCTGTAGAGACATGTAATAAGGTAACATCATTTAGGGGTTTTTCACGAATTATAAGTTGGGGTTTCTGAAACCTTCTGCACCCCCATTTCCAAACAGGTCCTCAAAGCTCGGCAATGTGAAAGGTCTCTACCGCCGCGGAATGGCTTACATGGCAGGTGGAGAGTATCAAGACGCTAGAAATGACTTCAATAAGGTATTTCATACTAAATTTGCTTGTTATAGTCCAATCCTTAGAGATGGAAATTTCAAATTTGTTTACTAATATGACTTTTGTGGATATGAAGCTGATGCGACAACCGCACTTCTGAAACTCAAGCAGAAAGAACAGGTCAGTCAGTATTGGAGTTCGAAAGGCTATTTATGATTTAGAAATGCTTGGCTAAAATCTAGTATCTTAGGACCTCGTCACAGGAAGCGGAGAGCAAAGCTAGAAAACAATTCAAAGGATTATTCGACAAGAAACCGGGGGAGATAACCGAAGTCGGTTCAGAAATAAGAGAGGAGACTAAAACTATACAAGAAGTGGATGAGACAAAGGATAACGATGATGGAAGAGAGGAAGAAGAAAGTACGACCACGGTGAGCAGTGGAAAGAAGAGGAAATGGTCGGAGAAAGCCTGGCTGATTATGAAGAATGTGATGGTTCAGATAGGTATCCAGCTCGGTGTTGCTCTGTTTGGTGTTTTGATTTTCCAGTTTTTCAGCGCCAAATTTACATGAGAGACCAACGGTAGTGATTCATTCACTTCTCTTATCAAATACTCAGAAAATATAAAAACTAATGGGTAATAAAAGCTCATATAGATTCAAATAACTCTGGTAATTTGTGAAAGTAGGTTCTCAAAGATGGGTACCATTTGGCGCTTTGCAGTTACGTTTACTAATTTGCTTCATAAAGTAATTAGTTCTTGTTTCTTTTATTTAAATTCCATAAGATGGCGTAAAGGGAAGAAAACAAGAACTTGTTAGGTAGCTTATGTTGTGGTTCATGAAATTTAATTAATCTTACGTCTCAGCAAGTGCAGATTGTTTATTGCCAGAGTTGCATGTATCAGGTAGTAGTACAAAATTTGCATTATAAAGATTTATCTTGATAGCAATTTATCTTTTCTATAAAGAATTATGTTGTAGTTCGATTTGCATTATACTAAATAACTAGGTGTTAAATAACTAGGTGTTTTGCTGCATATTCAAAGACAAAAACTTCTTCGTGGAAATAATGATATATTGATGTGTATCATATATTCATATTAAATAACTTATACCACCAGCCTCAGAGATAGCTATGATAGAATACAGCTAACAACTCATCTATTTGGAATTAAACACATTTATCCAAGCTGAAGAATCAAAACACGAGATTCATTTTGGGTTTGGATCCTATCAATAATTCAAGCGGATCTTATATCTATAGAATCAAAAAACTGAAACCGAATTAATACTCGAACTTCTGTAACATAATTTATATACTTTTAAATGTTAACTATATTTAATTTTAAAATATTCAAATAATTTATAATTTTTATTTATAAATCAAAATACTCAAAAAAATGAATTTCCAAAGTCTTTTTATCTGAAATATTTAAAACAGAAGTATCCAAATTTCCTCCAAAATCATAAAATTTTGATATTCAATCTAAAACTCGAATTTCAACGTTTTAATTAAAATTAACCAAAAATCAGAACCAAACCGAAAATAAATGTTATCTAAAATTACGTTGGATATTATTCGGTTCCTAACTTTGTTATCTGAACTAAATTGAAAACCAAATTAATAAAATCACAAAGCCGCCGAGCATACTCTTATATGCGTTCAGAAATAGAAACTTATTTGTGGGCTATATTTTGGGCGGTCGAATGTATGGATAATTTACATTTTTCAAATATTACTTTTGAAACAGCATCAGAGAGTTTTCATGGAGTACTCACAAAGTCTGAAAACCAGCACAACACTAATTTCAATCTCACCCGTCACAATATCTTCTCTCTCTTGACAAGGATAGATACATGAAACCTAGACCACGTTTTTCAAGAACGCAATGAGACGGCAGCGACTATTGCTCTTAGTGTCACTCGTGATTAAAGCCATCAATCATATATTGCCAGACATGCACCTGTGTGGCCTCATCATCTCCTGACTTTGGAGGCTCAAAAGTAAAGGATTGTATTGGTGAGCTTCTTGTCTTTTTTTAAGTTGTCTATTGACATCCCATAGTTACTTTCTTTATGTATCATTTCTTCCCATTTGTTTGAAGAAAATATTACACCTAGGGGCAGTTTTCTAGTTATTATTATCAGAATGGGACACTTCACACTACTACAACACTTTTTTCTAACCGCAGTTTTTTGTTCCCAATTAGTTTAGGAAAGTTTAGTTATAGTCCAACTATTTCGTTGATTAAGAAAAGGCAGAGAAATCACCTTATTAGCGGGAACAATTCCCAGCCACACATCTCATCCTTTCATCGATGGCCCAGAATAAACCAGTACACTATGACAAGACTAATATCTGCTACCCTTCCACACCGTTGGATCTTCCTTTTTTTTTTCTGGACGGTCCAGATTATCATGAAACAAAACCAATCTTCATCTTCTCTGTTTTTCACTTCGACAGAGACAAAAAAGAAGAGATTAACTTTGAACCTAATAATCTTACTAATCTCCTGAGATCAACGATACATTCATCATCCGACCCTAAATCCAGGTTAGTCCCATCTCAAGTCTACATTTCATCTAATTTCTATGTTTCATTTTTCCTTACAACGAACCTAACGTCTGCTTTTTTGTTTTCACGAGCTCAGCCATGGAAGATCATTGTATGGTCATTCCGGGCGAATGGAACTCTAGTGATTCTCTGTGGAAATTTGCTATAGATCAGAAGAGAATGTCTAGGATTGTTCCTGTCCACCGGGAAATGTCGTTGCTTGACTTACAAAACAATGTCGTCAAGGAGTTCTTCACCTTCACTGACCAACCACCTAGTATCCATGTAGATACGAACTGGAAGACAAGTGGATAGTAGACATAATTATAGACCAACCACCTAGTATCCATGTAGACCAGATAACAATGTTTATTATCCACGTGTACATGTGGACAATACGGTGAACATGTGGATACTACAACAATAGAGGGGTATTCTTATAGATCATCTGCATTGACGTATTTTAGATGCAGTGTGTACTATTATGTGTTTATACGAGGATACCTAAGTGTGGACAGTCTTAATAAATCAATGTAATGTGTTTATACGAGGATACCTAAGTGTGGACAGTCTTAATAAATCAATGTTATGTGTTTATACGAGGATACCCAAGAATGTTGGGTTGGTACTAAACATATGGATAAGACTATGTGTACACGTGGGTAACACTAAGTGTACACGTGGATACTAAACATACGGATAAGATTATGTGTATATACGAGGATACCCAAGAATGCTTGGTGGATTCTAAACATATGGATAAGACAGTGTGTAGACGTGGATACTATAGGAGTTCATTTAAACGTGTACATGATTACATTGACCATTAAATGTGTCCAAGCATCGATAATAGACATATAGAGACAAACTGGAAGACAAGTGGATAGTAGACATATTGATAGACCAACTACGTAGTATCCATGTAGACCATGTAACACTATTTATTATCCACGTGTACACACTTGTATCCATAAGGCCGGTATCCACGTGTACACACATTTGTATCCATATGGCTGTCGAACCCTAAACATTCAACACAGATAGATAAAGAGGTGTGTACACGTGGATACTGGAGATAAGGATACAATATGTGTCTGCATGCTTAAGTGTACGTGAAGATGTCTTTGAGTATCCACATGAGGACACTTCCAGTATCCATGTCAATACCGTGGCATCGTCATGTGGTTAATTTCTCATTGAAATAGTATCAACGTGTGTGAATACCTCCGTGTATTCCATACACATTTTCAAACTATGAATACAAAGTTCAAACATAGGACGTAACCATGTACCCACCTCGATACGTTTCATGTACTAAAGGAGTCCATCTAAGCGTGTACATATTTACATTGTTTATTAAACGTGTTCCAACATGGATGTTCGACGTATGGACACACATTAGCGTACACGTGGACACAAGCTGATTCAGTGTATCTGGCATTCTTATATATCATCTGCATTGACATATTCCAGATGCAGTGTGTACTGTGCGCTCATTCATACATAAGTGTGGACACTCTCAAAAAATCGATGTTATGTGTATATACGAGGCTACCCAAGAATGTTTCGTGGATACTAAACATATGGATAAGACAGTGTGTACACGTGAATACGAGATAAATGAAGCAGTTAGTCCATGTACTAAAGGAGTTCATTTAAGCGTGTACATGATTACATTGTCCATTAAACTTGTGCAAGCATCGGTAATAGACATATAGATACGAACTGGAAGACAAGTGGATACTAGACATATTGATAGACCAACTACCTAGTATCCATGTAGATCAGGTAACAATATTAATTATCCACGTGTACACACTTTAGTGACCTTGGTGTACCTCATAGACCAACTGGCTAATATCCACGTGTACACACTTGTATCCATATGGCTAGTATCCACGTGCTCACACACTTGTATCCATATGTCTGCTGGGCCCTAAACCCTAAACACAGACGGATAAAGAGGTGTGTACACGTGCACTGAGTATTAGGGATTGTGTAGAAGCCCTTGACAATTGTAGTGAACACTCTCGACGGTAGTGTACGAGGATACCCAAGAATGTTTGGTGGATACTAAACATATGGATAAGACAGTGTGTACACGTGGATATGAGATAAATAAAGCACTTAGTCCATGCACTAAAGGAGTTCATTTAAGCGTGTACATGATTACATTGTCCATTAAGCTTGTGGAAGCATCGATAATAGACATATAGATACGAACTGGAAGACAAGTGGATAGTATACATAATTATAGACCAACTACCTAGTATCCATGTAGATCAGGTAACAATGTTTATTATCCACGTGTACACACTTTCGTGACCTTGGCGTCCCCCATAGACCAACTGCCTAATATCCACGTGTATACACTTGTATCGATCTGGCCAGTATCCACGTGTACACACATTTGTATCCATATGTCAGCTTGACCCTAAACCCTAAACACAGATGGATAAAGAGGTGTCTACACGTGGACTGAGTATCTCGTATCCACATGTACACCCTGTCTTATCCATATGTTTAGTATCCACCAAACATTCTTGGGCAGCCTCGTATATACACATAACATCGATTTATTGAGAGTGTCCACACTTATGTATAAATGAACGCACACTACACACTGCATCTGAAATATGTCAATGCAGATGATATATAAGAATGCCAGATACACTTAACCAGGTTGTGTCCACGTGTACGCTCATGTGTGTCCATACGTCGAATATCCATGTTGGAACACGTTTAATAAACAATGTAAATATGTACACGCTTAGATGGACTCCTTTAGTACATGAAACGTATCGAGGTGGGTACATGGTTACGTCCTATGTTTGAACTTTGTATTCATAGTTGGAAAATGTGTATGTAATACACAGGGGTATTAACACACGTTCATACTATTTCAATGAGAAATTAACCACATGACGATGCCACGGTATTCACATGGATACTGGGAGTGTCCTCATGTGGATACTCAAAGACAGCTTCACGAACACTTAAGCATGCGGACGCATAT